AACAGAGTTCCCTCCTGACGCTGAAACTCCGCCCAAGTGAAGCCGGAGTTCTCCTCTGCCACCAACAGACGTCGGACTTCTACCCGACATCGGACCTTCACTCTTCGCAAAGTTTCTTCCCGACGTCGAACTTCTACCGGTTATCGGACTTCGCTGGACGTCTACGCGAAGATGGATTTCTTTTCATTGTTGGACTTATACCTGACGTTGTCCTTCTGATCTTCGTCGTCAGACTATAGTCTTTCCGACCTCCGTCGCCCGCCGACTACGGTCCTCCTGACTTATGTCGCCCGCCGACTACAATCTTTCCGACCTCTGTCGCCCGCTGACTACGGTCCTCCTAACTTACGTTGCCCGCCGACTACAGTCTTTCCGACATCCGTCGCCCGTCGACTACAGTCCTCCTGACTTACGTCGCCCACCGACTATAGTCCTTCCGACCTCCGTCGTCAGCTGACTACGGTGATCCTGACTTCTGTCGCCCGCCGACTACAGTCCTTCCAACAAAGCGAATATGTTAATAGTAGTTCTTTGTATTTACATCATGTAATGTACTCTATAAGATGTACATCAAGCTAAGGCCTTCTCCCAAGGAAGGGCCTCATTTGTAATTGATTGCAAATACTAGTGGATTCGTTCAAGCTAGGCCCCGTGGTTTTTCCCCCTTTTCAGGGGTTTTCCACATAAAAATCTTGGTGTCTCATAAATGTTAGACCCTCTCTCCTTATCTGATTGCATGCCGGATTTTCGTACAACGCTAAGACGATAAACTTTATATTTCTCTACCGCGGCGAATACTCCTGGACGCAACAGAAGTTTATTTATGATTTTTTTAAAATTACACATAATAAGTTAATGGTGCATTTGATATATTTCAAAATTATGTATTTTGAGTCTTTTCTTTATTTTTTAAATTCTTTTATTTGAGATTGTATTATAGGGTGCTGATTATTAGTAGAAATTTTTCATCATGATGTGCAAGAATAAATATTTATTTTTGATAAATTAAAAAAATAAAATGTGATATATAGTAATAATGAAATGTGACATATTGTGGTGTTATGTTGAGCAATTCTATAGTAATAATGATAGCTTTTAATGAGTATTATTATGTGTTAAAAATTTGTGATGGTAGAGATAGAGAGTGTATATTATCTTTATATTGTATAAAGTGTGACAATTGGAGCAAATATTATTAGAATATTTTGCTCCAAAAATTTTAAATTTAATATAAACTAATCGTTGTGGCTTCCTGGGGCTCCGAAAATGAGTTTGGAATGTCAAAAAATGATCCCGAGAACCTAAAAAAAAATTTATCGCAAAATTTTTTGTTACTAAAAATTTTTGTAATAGAAAGCTGTTTTAGAAAACAGTAAGAAGGTTGTCTCAAACAAAGTCAAAGTCTACATTCTGATATTTCATTTTGCTTTTAGAATTGTAACAGTTAAAACTTTTAATTATACACAGCTCATCTTGGCCTGTTGGTTGAGAACAATTATTACGTCCTCTGACCGAATGGTTTTATAGGTTCGGCCACCATTAACTTTACGCCACGTAGCAGCCCGACGACCCGACCCAAACCTGCTGTTTTTTTAGATATTTGACGTTTCTTTTGCGTTTAAACGGGCGGGAAAATTTTAAAAGACGCGGGTATATAAACTTCTTGCCGATTATCTTGATTGTACACAGAACGTTATACAGTATTTAGGGTTTAGGAAACTTCCGCAAAGCGTTCCACGCGATGAATTCGAAGGAACCTACTTTGGGAACTCCAACTTTGGAAGAGTTAGACGATTTCGACGAAACATTTGGCACTTATACTATGGATGACGATTTTTCCTATTTTTTACAAGTAATTTGTCTTCCATCTTCGTCTGATCCTCTCATATTTGTTTGTACCTAACCTTCTGATAACTCGGTACTGCTCGTTATTTAAATGTAACTTGATTTTTTATAAGTAGGTACTGCTCGATATTTGTTTATATTGCTTGAATTTGTTTTATATAGTTATGAAGAAGAAATACCGAGATTTTTGACAACTCGGTATTTCTCGGTATTCATAAGTATAACTCGGTATTGATGATTTTTTAATATATTTACGTCACTTATGTCTTCTACATAACTAGATTTTAATTTCTATTACTTGAAATTGTTTTTTGTACCGATTTTTTACTTATGTAGAACTTGTACCGAGATTTTTGAGAACTTGCTATATCTCGGTATTCATACTTAAAACTCGGTATTGATAAGTTTTTGTTATCTTTACGTCACTTATATCTTATATATCCCTAGACTTGAAATACCATATATTTGTACCGAGTTATATATAACTCGGTATTGATAAATAACTCGGTACAGTTCTTCATTTTCATGTATTTATTTTGGTTTTTTTCCGTTGTCTTAATGAATATTGTAATTTATTTTTATAGGGGGTTTACAAATCTGAGAAGGAAGCATATGTTAAATATTGCGAATATGCACATAAGCATGGATTTAGTGTTTGGAAAGAACATCTTTCTTACTGGCCTGGTACCAGGAAATTGAAATCAAAGGTTTTTGTCTGTTCAAAATCTGGATTCAAGAAGGAAACATAAAATATACAGAAGGTTAAATTTAAAAAATCAACTACAAGAACTGGATGCCCTGCTATAGTGAGATTTTTTGTTAGTGAAGAAGGGATATGGATAGTGAAAAATTCGGTAGAAACACACAACCATGAATTGGCAAAACCGGATGATCAACATTTGCTGAGATCATCTAGGCACATCACTGAAGAGAATGCCTCTGTTATGAAATCAATGGCTGATGCGGGAATAAGAACAATAAATGCATTCTCCTATCTATCCGAGGAGGTTGGAGGTGTAGAAAATCTGGGCTTTACCAAGAGAGATGCATACAACTATATTCAAAAGGAGAGAAGAGCAAAAATTGAGAATGGGGACAGCAATTCGCTAATCGAATTGTTCAAAAATCGGTCAGCTGAAGACAATCTATTTGCATGGGATGTGCAAACTGATGAGAAAGACAGGTTGGTAAACTTTTTTTGGGTAGATGGTTTGGGGAGAGTGGATTATGACTGCTTTGGGGATGTAATAATTTTTAATACTAGCTACCATCTGAACAAATATAATTTAGTATGTGCCCCTATTATTGGAGTCAATAATCATTGGAAAAACATTATATTAGGGATGGCCTTTCTATCTGATGAAACAATTGATTCATTCTGGTGGTTATTTCAAACCTTTTTAAGAATTATGAATAATAAACATCCAGTTACTATATTCACTGATCAGGATCAAGCAATGACAAGGGCAATAGAGCTTGTATTCCCTAATACAAGACATCGTTTGTTTAGTTCAGCTGAAGGAACGATAAAGTGCAGCTGCGGAAAGTTCGAGATGATGGGAATCCTGTGTTCTCATTGTATGAGAGTGATGAGTCAGTTGGATGTTAGTAATATACCTCAAAAATATTTAATTTCAAGATGGTCAGCAACTGCTAGAAACGATCTTTATAGTGGATTAAATGTTCAGCTTACAATACCGAGTTTGTGCACGTTAAAACAAGGTTCCCGAAACATGATTTTTAGAAATTATGTTTGCCGATTTGCTTATCAAATTAGCAGTGAAGCTCAAGGTAATGAGGATGCAGAACAGTGTATGATAGATGGTATGAGTGCATTGGCATTAAATGTTCAAAACATTATGGAAGGAAAAAGAAATAAATGTATCACTGAGGGGCTCCACAAAATAATTAGAGATCCTGCAAAGCGCCGGCCTAAGGGAGTTTCTAATGCTAGATTAAAGGATCATTGGGAGAAGAGGAAGGCCAAAAAAGTGAAATCAACCGTGCATAATCCTGATCCAACTTTATATTTTACACCTGCAGAATCAGGAAGTCAGTCATCCTTTATGTAAGTGTGATCAAGATCTCTGAATAAGAAGGTACTATTCGATATTAGCATTTCATACTCGATATTAGTGGAATTTCTAATCAGATCAAAATAAACAAAACACTAAAATATCATATGCAAAATTATAAATTTAATTTATCATACTACAAAAAATGGCATAAGCAAATTCTGCCCTAAATAAGGCCATATTACTTTGCCAGATCTTATGGATGTCCCAATCAGTATTATTATTTTGTATAACTTGTTCCATATATTTGCAGACAAACATTCCACAGTCGACACTGTTTTCTTGTGTTGGCAAGTTTGGGATTGAATGGATTGGCCAGGTTCTTATATCATCCTCAAAAGCATCTTCTGCATCATCGTATAAATGAGATATCTGGAAAGGTAATAAAATTATTACATTTATCTTCAATAAAAAACATTAAACCAAAGATAACTCTAAGTTTATACCACTTCCGGAGTAATAACCTTGTGCGTTGCTTTGGGTAATGAATCCATAAAATCCCATCTTTTTGTCTTCATGTTTGCAACAAGTAATGTCCAATGTTTTTCATTTATGATGGGAACAAACATAATGTTAGCATTTTTAACAGCAGCTCGCGTGATATTCTCTGCAAATGATGTTGTTTTATCCTGTTTATTTTGAATATAATAACCTTGAAAAAAAAAGTCATTCAGTCATTTAATGATATACACTATACCTTTAGTATAAATAATTACTAACCCAATGAAAAGCAGAAACATATAGAAATGGTTGGTTCAGTCGTGGAAACATTTTGTTTTTCTCAGATAAAAGAAATGCAAAAGTGTCCATATGGTTGTTGTCAAGCTCTTCGCATAGCAACAATTCGTCCATTTGGCTTCTAAAAATAAATGCATTTCCAATCGCCAAGATGGTATCCTCCCTGTATAATTTGTCTCACCATCGTTAGAAAAAACTTGTTAATCCTAGTTGTACCGAGTTGTACCGAGTTTTTTATTTCTCGGTATTAATCAGTTTTTCGAATAAAATAATATTTCTGACGTTCATATACGAAAAAAATACCTAACAAAAGTTAAATACCGAGTTGTACCGAGTTTATTATTTCTCGGTATTAAACAGTTTTGCGAATAAAACCATGTACTTGACGTTCATATACGAAAAAAATAGCTAATAAAAGTTAAATACCGAGTTGTACCGAGTTGTTTATTTCTTGGTACAACTCGGTATTGTTATTTAAAGTACGTACTGTTTTATGTACTTGTTAAGAAAGTTATCAATGATATTCCTCTTCTCTTCATTAAGTAATAATCGTTCTAGGTAATCCAAAAATGCCTTGGCCTCACGTTCTACATATTTGGAATCCTCAACATCAAAAATTGCAGTTTTTGGCTTTTCAGCTGGTGGAGCAGAAGGAGCAATTATCATAGCTTCATCAGTAGGCGCAGAAGCTTTATTAGTATCAGTTAACTTCTCTTTCAGTCTTGTTGCAGCACGAGTGACTGGTTTTCTTCTAGTAATTGATGTTTCCTTCTTACTAACTATTTCAGCTTCATCATTAGCCAACTGAGCTTTCTTCTTCTTTCTATCACCTGCTGTGAATGAAGTTTTAACTCTTTTCCTTTTCCTGTCATTCCTCAAATGTACTCTTTGAGCAATTCCTCCAGTTCCTGATGAAGGGAAAGGAAATTCCTCATCTTCTGATGTTTCTTTCTTACTAACTATTTCATCAACAATTTTCTCAACAGTTTTTGATAATACTTCATTAAAATTGTTTTCAGATTTCGTTCTTGAACTTGAGTGAACCGGACTGCCAATTTTCTCAGACGTGAAATAGTGTGGAAAATGATAACTTAATATCTTATATATACCACAAAATTTTTCATTGTTACCAGATTTTAACTGAAATACTTCATTGTCCAATGCTTCCACCCGTTTTTGAAGCAGAATTTTGTCCATTTTGAGTGATGAAATTTTTTGACCATATATTCATGCTGTGTAATAAGTTTATATATGGATTGATTGATAATCCTCAAATTTGTTTCATCAGGTTCACTACGTTGTGCATCACTTTCTTGTCTAAATTTTGTTCTTAAAGGAGAATCAATGGGACTTCGACAATCAATGGGACTAACAATAGGAATTGTAGGATCAGTGTTCATTGGCTGTTCAATTGGACATTCAGTTTCCGTTGGAGTTTGAATAGGAGAAGCAGTTGGGCTTGGACTGGCTGGAGATAAAGTTGCTTGTAGAGATGGAGTTGGCTTACTACTAGATATATGTATACTTCTCAGTGGTGTAATATCCATACCATTTGCTGGATTACTACTCTGAATTAAAATCTTCTCATTATCTGTTATCTCTTATAAATCTGTCAAGATTTGGATCAAATCTTTTATAAATATCCAAAACTTATAAGTACAGAATAAAGTTAAATGAGTGAAGATATGAATTGTACCTCAGAATCCTGAAGGCTTTTTAGTAAATTATCAACATCTTTAATTCTATAATTAAATTTTGCATCCCAACGAAGGAGACGGGGTTGAGCCAAATTATCCACTACTGGGTGGAACTTTGTATGCTCAAAAAACCAAATCTAAAACATAAAATTAAACAATATAAATCAGTGTATGAAATAAAGAACCTATTACAATAGTGAAATAAATAAAAACAATGTAATATGTATAAGAATTACTCACAATTATAATCATAACAAATCCATTAACATATCCCAATGATTGACCTTTTAATTGTTTTTTTGCTATTGTATTAAATTCAATAACAAGGAAATTCCGAATGGATTGGGGCCAATTGTATGCTCTGAACTTGTCAACATTTTTTGCAACGTCCAATATTGTTGATTGCACTCGGAAGTTGGTCATTGGGAAGAAAATATTGGACAATAAGTACACAATGAATTGTTCCCTAACAATCTCGATAGGCGTTGAGGATTTCAATTTCAGAATATCATGCCTTATGTCATTTGCTATTTTACCAGCAATTGTACCAGTCCCAGGTTCAAATTTAATACCTCTGTTTGGTAAGCCAATAATCAATGCTATTTCATCAGAAGTGAAAGTTAAAGTCCGGGTATTAATAACAAAACTTTCAGATTCGTTATCCCACGTTGACAATAACATATAAATAATATGAACATTTTGTGGGAACCGAGGTAGTAATAGGAACTGGTTAATTTGTAGCTCACTTAGGCTACTAACAAACTGATCCCCAAATTTCTCAACCAATTCATTACAAATTTCTCTAAATCCTGAAGTCCGACATCTGAAATGAATCTTGGGGGTATATCCCTGCATAATAAAGTTTAACAAACATTAAGAAAATAACAGTTTTACAGAGTTATTCCGTGAAAAACTACGTGAAATAAATAAGTGTAACAAATACTAAGAGAAATACCGAGTTTTCTTAGTACCGAGTACCAAGCTGTACCGAGTACCGAGTACCTAGTAACACGGTAGAACAGAACCCTAAACCCTAAATACACGTCATTTAGGATTCTGTTCGATTTACTAAGGAAAACCTAACATGTCTACGAAATGTGTACCGAGTTTTATCAACCAGTAATGACGTTTACTGAGTTTTAATCATCAAATACCGAGAAAATCGAACAAAACCTAGTACCGAATACCGATTAGTACCGAGTTTTAGAATGCGTACCGAGTTTTAAAAACAAGCAGAAATGTTTACCATATCCCTAAAACTCGGTACTGTTAGATTGCTAACAATATAAACAATATCATAACAATGATACTTTTTTCGGTAAATCGTTTCGAACCTCAGGCATTATATCAGCGACGGTTTTCGAATGGAGAATATGAAGAAATACGAGTTGAAATGCTGGAGAACTACGAAGGAGATGCTGGAGAACTCCGAAGGATTTGCTGGAAATCAAAAAAACGAAGTAAACAGTAACAGGGATTCGAATCTCCGTAAAAAGGTGAAGCGTCGCACTTCGAAGTGTTTTTGATGTTTTCCATTTAAAATTTAACACGTGCGATAACCCAAAATACAGCGGGTCGGGTCGGCGACTTTTCTTCATGCTACGTGGCGTAAAAACATTGGTGACCGAACGTAGAGGAGCGTACGTTCACTGGACTAAATAATTGTTCGTTGGTTGATAGCTTAGGCTTCCAACCAAGAGGTCTAAGGTTCGAGTCTTTGTGTATGCGTTGTGTGTGTGAGTTTGCCTTAAATGGCCTAAATGTCCCAAAAAAAAAACTTTTAATTATCGAATTATTATTCATTTTGACATAATAACCTTACGATTTTATCCAACGAGCATAACTTTTCAAGAGGTCACGAATCCGACAAGCACATTGAGCTTTGAAGTTTCTTAATGAAATTTCGGCTTCATTTTGGGACAGCTTTTCTATTGCTTTGTAAAGTTATTTTCTAGTACAAAAATCTCTTAAAAGCAGAAAAAAAAAACAACAACGGTCTAAAGCTGTCCTAAATGAAACCTATAACTATTACACCACAAAACTTATCGATATTTAAAAATTGAACTTTATTTTTTTGATAGATTTCACATAAAACTTTTGAGCCTTATGATTTGGTTCCAAAGCTTTGTTTCCTCTTTCATTTATAGATTTACATTTGTATTGACTGATGTGTATCTTTGAATCTTTGATTTTATGAGTATTTTTTGCTTTTTTGGTGACTTAGTCATTTTATGAAAAAAATGGAAATTTGTTCTGATCAATGAAATTGGCATATGGAACAAACTGAAAAATTGGATAACAGCTATGAAATTTGAAAGAAATTAAACTTGAGGCTTGGTTTAATTAGTTAAACAAAATATGCTAATTAGATATTAACCATTTTTATTAACATTTTAATAATACTAATTAGTAATATAATAAAGATAATTATAAGGTTGATAAATGTTTAATAAATTTGATAATAATGCATGGGGTAGTTAGTAACGAATTTACTAAAAATTAAATGTTTTTTATTAAAGCTAAGTATTGATTAATTTGAGCTTAAATGATTAAAATTAATTTTTAGTAACTAAAACTAGATTAATTAATAACTTAGCTAATTACTCTGCTTAATTATTGATTATTTATTTTATTATCACAACTGGGTACTAGTTATATTTTAGTTCATATCATTAATATTTTATCATGATTTAATTATGATAATTAAATCAAGCATGAATGAATTAATAAATGAATATGTTGGAGTAATTCATAGATAAAAAATTATTATGCTGATTAAATATTAATTGGTATCTTAATTACAATATTCATATTTACTTATCATTTAAATTTTATAATTACAGTTTAAATTAATAATAAATTTAAAAATAAATAATCTAATTATTAGTATGAATTAGTAATCAAATAATGTTTAATTGAGATTATTAAAATCTTATGAATATTAATTACTAAGGTGGATTAATTATGTATTAAATATTAGTTTATGTTTATTAAGTTTATATTACTTTTATTTTTTAGTTTTAATTTCCAAACGTGTTTTGATTTTCCATTTTTAGAAACATTAATATTTAATTACTATTTATTTATGAAAATTATGTCTAAGATAATTAATTGTAAACCATTAATTAGTTATTAACAAACTTATTAGTATTTTAACTAAATTATTATTATTTTGTATAGACATTTACATATTATAATTAAGATTTAATTTATTAATTATTTTTTAAATAACTAAAGTAATTATCAATATTTATTATCAGATTTAATTATGATCATTAAATATTCATTAATGTTTTAGGAATAGCTGGTTATGATTATTTTTGCAGGGTATAGTTAAATTATCAATTGATTAAGCATATTAAATCATGAATATTTGTTTACTATGCTTAATTAATTTTTTTAATATTTCAAATTAATATCCGTATGATTTAAAATAATAATTAATTTTTTGACCAATTATATATATATAATTCATAAGATTGGTTATCCTACAAAGTTAATAATTAAACAGTGAATCATTGTAATTTAAATTAATTAGGGTTTGATTAAAACTTAATTAGGATGATGTATCTTCAATGAGTTAATTAAGCATTAAATACTAATTTATTCATGTTTTTTAAAATATTTTTTTTAAAAAAATTTTATAGTAATTTGTTCATGTTAATTAAGTATAGATTTGTCTTTTTTTTTTCTTTTTTTTCACAAATATTTCTATTTTTTAAGAAAATGTAAGTTGAACCCCCCATCCCCAACTTCACGTCCGGACTGTGAGTGTACACAATGTCTGTACAAACTGTGTACAAAAAAAAAACCAAACTGTGTACAAAATTGTACATAGTGCACACACTTTAATTTGTACACTCATAGTTCGGACGGGATCTTTCCGCGTCCTGACTCCGCACAGAATAACTTCTACCACAAACACATTTTTTTTAATGAAAGCAAAAATAAATAAATAAAACAGGAAAAATTGGTTCTTTGCTTTCTTGTTCTCTTATTCCAAATAAACTTACAAATGGCATTGTAGCCATTGCTATCTCTATTGTCTCTTTCTCATTAGCTTTTACATATTATACAAAGAAAAGCCTTAAAAAATGCAAGCCAGAGTGCACAAGAAACCTCTTTAATTAACTTTAAATAAAATAATTTCTTAAAACCTTCATGCTGATGCAAAGCTGCCATGATTGCCCAGTGATCAAGACCTTCAGAAGATTACATATTCAAAGTCATATCTGCTGATGCATCTCTCTCTGATTCTTTAACTGGTTGAAAATTTCCATCTTTTTCCTGTAGATTCAAAGCCATATGATTGTGTATGAAGAGCTTCAATGGTTCTTACTCATCTGCAAAGTTCTGATGAGTTCCAAAGAAGTCATAATCTATATTAGATTCCACCTCTTCCAAACCTTCTAAAACTTTCACCACCATTGACATGGCCGGTCTTCTTTTACTATCACTTTGCAGACACCACATAGCTAATCCAAGAAGCTTAATTGCATCTTCATCATCAGACCAAATGCTTCTGTTGTTATTCAGAAAAGCATCTGGCGATGAATGGATCTTAAATGTTTCTAATAGAGCAATTAACTGAACTGCTTCTTCAGGCTGAGAAGGATCTAAGTTCTTTCTTCCACAGATGATTTCGAGAACTACAACACCAAAGCTATAAACATCAACCTTTTCAGTAATAATCGAAGTCAACCATTCTGGAGCTAGATAACCAGGAGTTCCTCTCATTCTAGTCATGACTTCTCTCTGATCTCTATCAATCAGCTTTGACATTCCGAAATCTGCAACTTTAGCGTTAAATTTTTCATCGAGTAGAATATTTTGTGGCTTTATGTCTAAATGAGCAATTCTATGCCTGCATTCTTCGTGTAGGTAACAAAGCCCTTTAGCTATATCAAGGATTATATTCCTTCTGGTTTGCCAATCTAGAAAAACTTCTTCTTCTTCTTCTTCTCTTCCAAAGATCCATTGATCAAGTGATCCATTGGGCATGTACTCATAAACCAGAAGTCTGTGCGATTTCTCAGCACAGAAACCTATTAGTTCTACAAGATTAATATGATGGATGCTTCCAATGGTTTCAACTTCAGCCAAGAATTCTTTTTTGCCCTGACCAAGACCTTCCAACTTCTTCACTGCAACTTTGTTACCGTTGTTTAATGTTCCCCAAAACACAGATCCAAATCCTCCTTCTCCAAGCTTTCTTTTGAAGCCTTGGGTGGCAAGATAAAGTTCTTCAAAAGAAAATCTGACTAGAACTCCACGTACTTGATCAAACTGATCCCCATCTTCCATGTCTTCAACCCTTCTCCTTCTGCAACGAAGAATAATAACCCACGCAACAACGGAAGTAAAGACTAAGCTTCCAAGCATGGCCGCCAATACATTGATCCTGTTTGATTCCTTAGAGATTGAAGATTCTGCTACAGGATGAAAAGATGTTTGATTTGATGCTGGTGCGATCTGTATCTTGATATAAGCCGACGAGTTGTAGGTCATAGACGAAGTGTTCTTCAAAGAGAAGACCTCTGAAGGGAGATAACAGTCTCCCTGTGAAAAATCTCTTCCATACTTAAAAAAAGCACCTTTGCAAGAGCAATTCATCAAACAAGCCTGCTTGCAGCTCTCTTCATCTGTTCCACGAAGAGCCACAGCATTCTCATCGACGTAATTGAAGTAGGAGATGCTTCCTAAAGGCAAAAGGCGATGGCTTTTTGCCGATTGACAAGAGATTGGATTCACAGGAGAGCAACCTCGATTCACTAAACCCCAACTGTTCAGCTTGAAGAAGCTGGGATCTCCATCACTAACATTTACAGGGCAACTGCACTGCCCATTCGAACAAATCCCAAACTCCCCACAGGCCATGGGATAATCACAGTAACCAAGTTGAAAGTTGGTGAAATCTGATAATATCGTTACTCCTGGAATAAAGTTTTGCCCAATTCCATATACTCTCAAATGGCCATCGAACTCCAATCTAATGAACTGAACAGCCCAGTTACCCGGGTTTGAAATTAATGTAAGAGAATCATTAGGCCAGACGAGGCGGCCATCCTTGAAGGTGAGATAGGTAGTATTAGCTATTTTTCTCGGCTTGTTTAACAACTCAGCGTAAAGCTGAGGAGGGCTGGAGTTAACGAAGGCGTAGAAGCCATGTTTTTGAAGGGAGAGATAGAACTTACATCGAGTGGTATTAGTCGCAGAGGAATTGGAAGTGAGGCTCTGACCAAGTTTTAGCGTCTGTCCATTAAGTACAGTGTCCGTTGGGTGATCGAACGAAGACCAAACTGCCTCATTTTTGTTGTTGAGAAGGATAAGATTGCCGGAAGAAGTGAGATTCATGAAGGAAACAGAGTGGTTTGAGGTGTTGGTTGACCAAACGAAGGTGCCATCGGCGTCGAGAAGGATCAAGTCGCCGTCTTTGGTGAAGTGGAGGGTGGCATTCTCGCCGACGAGGCGGTCGCTGTTAGGGGACCAAAGGGAAGGGGCGGCGTTGCTATCATCGGGGAGTTCGGCTTCAACGGTCGTGTTGACGACGAAGATGGAAAAAATGAAGCCGTGGCACGGGGGGGCGCAGAGGAAACCGCAGGCGAAGCTGGGTCCGCCGCCGCCTCCGCTATTAAGGAGGAGGAGGCGTATTTTGGTACCGGTGATGAAGTAGATTGAGTTGCGGGTGAAGGATGGATTGTTGACCCAGGTGGTATTGATTTTCTCCGTTGGGTAGTCGAATCGGAGCTGGGCATGGCTGAGGAGAAATTGGTAGAGGAAGAGGAAGAGGAAGAGGAAGATCGGGTGCATGGTGGTGATGGTGGTGGATGTGGAAGAAGATGGAAAGCACCAGGTGAGAATAGGCAGCATTGGCCTCAGCCATATGTGTAATATTGATTTTTTTTTTAATTTTAAGAGCATAATAAAATATAAGATAATTTATTTTTCAAGGTAAAAAGAATTCAGCGTAAAAAAATTGTACTTTAATTGATGAGAATAACTTATATTGTGATGATATTCAAAAGCTTATTTATTCAATTGAGTTAGTCTATTGATCAATATTTTTTACAAAATTTATTTCTAATATGACTCTAAATTTAATATTTTTTAATGATAATATCACATATCGAGGGAGTTCAATTGAAATATTTTCAAGATATTTCATCCGACATATAATTTTATATTCAACATTTTCATCAACTGCTGAATTTATCTCAGACGTACTATGGATATAATTAGTGCTATCAAAATTAGGTCACAGATTAGGTTCGGATCCAACCTGGAACTGACTTGACACTAGTTAACACAACCCAAACCCGACCCATTTTTTTACAAACGGGTCATGTATTTCAACTCGGATCCGAATCTCGTGGGTTGTTGGGTTGACCTGACCCGACCCGTGGACACGTTTTGATTCAAAAATGGCCGCATGCGAGTCTGTGACAGTGACTACAGTCAGGGTGAACTGGGAGCGTGAGGGCACAGGCTAGGTGAGGTGCTAGTGGCTCGGCGAGTTGGCAGCAACGGTGCCGGCGACAACGAGTCATTGACCCGGTTAGGGTGGTATGCAGGCAACAAGATGTCTTCAGTGCGACATAGTCAAGGCGAACTAGGACTACGATGGCGCAGGCGGGGTAAGGGAGGTATGCAAGCGATGAGACGTCACCAGCACGGCATAAGAAAGCAATGTGCATTTTTTTCTTGTTGAGTTTGGGTTTCGGGTTAAACCGAACTCTACCTGTTTGCAAAACGGGTTGACTATAACATGAAATTTTCGGGTTAGGTTTGAACAAGGCTTTCGAGTCGTGTAAAATATTGACACACCTAGATATAATATCATCTCTCTTGAATTGCAATCTTTGTGTCAATTTTTCATGCTCGAACTTTGTTAAAATCATTCTGAATCTTGCTCAAATATATATCAATCAATGTCTAAACATAGTCCCAGCTTTATAAAAATGTTGTTCGATCCTCTGTCATTCATGACGTACTTCAATTAGTATGTTATCAAAAGCAGAGGTATTTTGATCTGAAACAAACATTTAGATATATTTCTGACACCACCCTTATACACCAAAAGGGGTGGTCGTCTGAAATATCCAATGCAGTTGCCCGGGCATCTATCTTCTTCCCTACTCGGACTCCTGCAGAAACAGAACAAGCCAAGCAGCGGGAAAGAAAAAGAAAGCAGGAATTTGAAAACAGCACTTAGCTGAATCGGGGATACAAATGAACTCCCTGTTATTTCATTAACGTCTACAATTTATAATAGAGCTATTACACTTGCAAAGAATAAAAGGCTACAGGGAGATAGATACACCTAGTTTTTGAAAAATAAATGGACTGTTCTGTAAAGACCATTTTGCTCCCAGGTTCGTCTAGACGAATTGTTCGATAATCCGGGACGATCGGTACAGGTTGTGCAGGAAAATAGTTCTGGCTGTATGGTTTGTCTGGTTGAAAATAGGATCGTCTGGACGAAATTCTTACCGATATTGACAATCTGGGTGAGTATGATTCTGTCTGCTCTGTGACATGAAAGCTTTATGATATCCGATTTGATATGACTTCAGTCTTTCGTATCTGATGTTTGATTTCTGATTGAGTTATTATCTGTTATGTTTGTTATACAATTTCTGTACGATTGTTCGATTTCTGTACGGATACTTTTCTGATACGTTTTCTGATATGAGTTTCTGATGATTTTGATTGGTGATTGATGTCTTGCTGAGCTGTTAGCTAATCCTTGTTTTCTGCGTGGTTTTCAGGTTCTGGGAAAGGGAAGGAGGTCTTGGACTAGACGTTCAGAGTCTGATCTGTGATTAGGTACTTGATACTTTTTATTTTTGTACAGTAATGGCTTTTCTGTTATGTTCTGTTCTTTCTGTCTGAAGCCATGCACTGTATCTGTATATGATTATTTTGATGAAAGAAAAGATAGATGAACTGCTCTGTGTTTGGATGTTTACAGTAGCTCTGTGTTTTTCTGTCTGTGTTATATTTGAAAGAAAGTTCTGAAACAAATTCCAAAGCCAGATCCTGGATTTGTTAGCTGTGTCGCGGCCCGATTCGAGCGGGATCCGTCCCGGTCAAGTTGGGTCGTGACACGTTCAACCATGAGCTCCTACGTCATTCACCCGGGGTGGGAAAAGTGTCTTCTAAATCGTAATGGGGAGTGAGATCGGCTACGTTGAAGACTGCGGATACGTTATAATCACCCGGAAGTTCGATTTCATATGCATTTTCATTGATCCTTCTGAGCACTCGGAACGGACCATCAGCTTTGGGTTTCAGCTTCCCGAAAGGTCCGGCTGGAAATCGCTCCTTCCTTAGCTTGATCCAGACCATATCACCGACCTGGAAGACAACTGATCTTCGGTGCTTGTTGGCTTGGATTTGATATTTAGTGTTCTGTTGTGCGATCTTTTCCCTTACTTGTTGATGTAGCTTTTTAATCTCTTCACTGTGTCGCTCGCCGTCTTTGCTGCAAGCAGTCATTGAAATTGCAGGTAGCAAATCAAGAGGTGTAAGCAGATTATTACCATAAACGATCTCAAATGGACTATGGCCAGTGGTCTGGTTCGTCGACCGATTGAACGCAAATTCGATTTGAGGAAGAATGAGGTCCCATTGCTTCAAATTCTTCCCTACAAAACATCGAAGCAAATTGCCTAAGCTCCGATTTACGATTTTGGCCTGCTCGTCCGTCTGAGGATGTGCCGCCGAACTAAACTGGAATCGAGTCCCCAACTTCCCCCACAAAGTTCGCCAAAAATGACTGAGAAACTTAACGTCTCGGTCGGAGATGATGGTTTGCGGTATACCATGAAGACGAACTATCTCTTTAAAATAGAGATCACTGATATGAGTGGCATCCAAAGTCCTTTGACACGCAACGAAATGGGCCATTTTGGAGAATCTATCAACCACGACCACGATGGAGTCTTTGCTTCGCTGAGTTCGCGGCAATCCTACGACAAAATCCATACTAACATCATCCCAGGGCCGCTCCGGAATAGGCAACGGAGTATACAATCCTGCGTTGGTCAGTGTTGTTTTAGCCTTTTTGCAAACCTGGCAGCTTCGGGTATACCGAGTAACGTCCTTCTTAATTGTTGGCCAGAAGAATTTTTTGCGAGTGATGGCCATAGTTTTATTGCGGCCAAAATGGCCTGACAACCCTCCATCGTGGCACTCGGCAATCAAGGCCAACCTCACGGAGCAATTGGGAATACAAACACTCGCGTTGTAGAACAAGAAGCCATCCTTGATATAAAACAGTTGATAGGGAGCTTTCTAACAATTTCCCCAGATGGCTCCAAAATCCGGATCAGCTGCATATAACTCTTTGATAGCATTAAAAACTGTTAACTTGGCCTGCACCGTCTGAAGTAGCACATAACGCTGACTAAGAGCGTCGGCCACCTTATTGTCCTTTCCCGCCTTATGCCTGAGCACAAACTGAAACGCAGATAAGAACTCGGACCAAGTAGCATGCCTTCCTCGCAACTTTTTTTGACTATCCAAGAACTTCAAAGCTGCGTGATTTGTGAACAGAATAAATTCTTTGCACAAGAGGTAGTGACTCCAGTGATGTAAGGCTCGAACTATCGCGTAGAACTCCTTGTCATACGTGGAGTATCGCTGCCGCACCTCATTCAATTTTTCGCTGAAATAAGCGATGGGTTGTCCCTCTTGGCTTAGTACCGTCCCTATGCCCACGTTAGAAGCGTCACACTCCACTTGAAACAATTTACTGAAATCAGGGAGCCGTAGAACGGGTGTTGTAGTCATCTTCCGCCTTAATTCTTCGAAACTGAGTTGCGCCTCAGATGTCCAATTGAATGTACTAGCTTTTAGCAATTCCATGAGAGGAGCGGAAATGGTGATGAAGTTAGCAATAAACTGGCGGTAGAAGGAGGCGAGTCCGTGAAATATTCTGACGTCCGTGAGCGAGCAAGGAACGGGCCATGTAAGTATGGCTCCAATTTTCTCGGGGTCTACTTCAATGCCTTCCGCTGAGAGGATGAATCCCAAGAATTGAATCTTGGAATCCAAGAAGTGACACTTCCCGGGATGGCAGTAGAGCCGTTGTTCTCTCAAGATCTATAAAACTTGTCTCAAATGCTGCAAATGGGAAGGTAGGTCCGGGCTGTATATCAAGATATCGTCAAAATAGACGATCACGCATTGGCTAAGCAACGGCTGAAAGATTTGCTTCATGAGTCGCATAAATGTACTCGGCGCGTTGGACAGCCCGAAGGGCATGACCAGCCATTCGTAGAGCCCGTCACGCACCTTGAAGGCGGTTTTCCATTCATCACCTTCTCACACGCGAATCTGGTGGTAGCCGCTTCTTAAGTCAAGTTTGGAGAAGATGGTAGCTCCTTGCAGCTGATCGAAGAGATCGTCGATACGTGGAATTGGGAATCTGTACTGCACTGTGATCTTATTGATCGCTCTACTATCCACACACATCCGATACGTTCCATCTTTCTTGGGCACTAGTAACGTCGGAACAGCGAAAGGGCTGGTACTAGGTCGGATGTAGCCTCTGGCCAGTAATTCCTCGATCTGTTTTCTCAATTCCAGGTGTTTGTCAGGCCTTAGTCGGTATGGCGGCCGGTTGGGCAGTGAGACCCCATGTAAGAGATCAATAGCATGCTGAACTTCTCGCATTGGGGGTAATCCTGCTGGAAGCTCTTCCGCCCAGACCTCTTTGTATTCATTAAGCAATAGCTGCACTTCGGGAGGCAGAGGACTGTGTTCTACAGCAGTTTCTTTGACCAGCACCAGATATCCTCCTTCTAATTGTTGCAAAGTCATCCTACATTCGGCTTGGGTCACCATAAGTTGAGCGTTCCCCATATC